TATATATATATATATATATATAATGTGAATGAGATAACTAAGCAATATGTCTGTTTCTCCAATCCCTCCCCCATCCCATCTCAATCTTTCCTCCTTAATTTTAGGTTTAGCACTCCTTTTCCTTTTAGAATTCATGGTTTTACCTCACTTGTATCTCTAGACATATTGCTTAGTTATCTCATTCACATTATATATATATATATATATATATATATAATGTGCACATATATATATAATTCTCATATATACAAGGTGGGGCAAAAGTAGGTTTACAGTTGTTCATATGGAAAATACTACAATAATTAATAAATGATGTAAGAATAAACTGTTTTGAATTCTCACAACCGTAAACCTACTTCTGCCACACCCTTATATAAAATCAGATCACACTGGTTTTATGCATAGTATTTACGGAATATAGAAATATGGAATCGCACTGTATGCTGCAATTTTTTTGCTCAGCATTAACTGAGGTTCATACATACGGCTGAATAAAGCTTTATTTTAACTTATGTACAGTATTCCACCATGTGAATATACCACAATGTATCCATTCTCCTTTTGATGGGACAATTTTTGTTATTACAGACCTACTGTACACATCAGTGCATATGTCTAAAGGCTTCTTCTAGGTTAAGTTGCTGGGGTATAGGAATGGGAACATGTTCAGCTTTACTCAAAAATGCCAATGAGGTTCCCTTCTATTCCTATTTATCAAACATCTTCAATGTACCACTAAGATAGGTATTTTCCCCCTCATTAAAAACCTGTTGGCAAATTATATTAGTTGGTTTTCTAATGTTTAAACCAATCCTACATCCCTAGAAAAATCTAATCTGGTTACGATATACTGTTTTGATTTCCAAGTTATTTTAGCCCCATAGAATGCTTGGGGCCTATGTCTAATCTGGAAAAGCCAGTGCAAGACTGGAATCATTTGTTTCTGAAGTGTTTGGTAGAACTTGCCTATCTGGATCTGGGATTTTTTTGAGGGAAAACTTTCAACCACTGAATCAAATTCTTTGTTATGTAACTAGTTGGATTTTCTATTTTTTCTTGAGACAGTTTTGGTAAACTGTCTTTCTACTAATGTATACAGTTCACATAAATGTTCAAATGTATTGGCATGCAATTGTTTAAAATATCCTATTGTCTTTTAAATTTCTGCTTCAGCTAAATCTCCCTTTTCTTACCTAAAATGCTTATGTGTGCCGTCTCTTTTTCTTGATCTGCTTTATCTCCAGCAATTTTTTTGGTCAAGTATTTTTCAAGAACCAATTCTTAGCTTTACTGATCCTACCCACTGCATACTGGTTTTCTTCTCTATTTACTTAACTTGTTATCGTTAGGATTTCCTTGCTTTTATTTTTTCTTATATTGGGCTCCATTAACCTTTAAATTGGGTATCTATCACACTTAATTTACTTTTATTCTTTCCTTTATAAACAGCATTAGGGTGATAACTTTTCCTCTTTCTACCTTTTTTTTTTTTTTTTAAATATATCTTTATTGATTTCAGAGAGAGGAAAGGAGAGGGAGAGAGAGAGATGGAAACATCAATGATGAGAGAGTCACCGACTGGCTGCCTCCTGCACGCTCCCGACTGGATATCGAGCCTACAACGCGGGCATGTGCCCTGACCAGGAATCAAACCCCGATCACCTGGATCCTAGGTCGATGCTCAACCACTGAGCCACTGGGCTCTTTCTACCTCTTTATTGTCATACCACATGTTTTGATTTTTAGTATTTTCAGTTATTTTTCAGTTATGAAGATTTTCTAACTTACACTTTCTTCTTGGAACCATGGTTTTTTGACAACCATATGTAGGTTTTCTATTTTTCTGTTTTGCAATTATTAAACTCTCTGCCCTTCCCCCGCCCCTTCTGCTCTGGAGGTTTTGTACTTACTTTTACTGATTTTTTAGTGGTTACATGGTTAATGCAAAGGACATTTATACACTTTAACTTCCATCACTTCCGTTACTTATGTTATTGCTGTCATGTATTTTTTTAATCCCACAACTACTGTCTTTTTAAGCAATCAGATTTTGTTTAAATTTACCTAAATATTTGCTACTTTCTTAAAAAAATTGATTTGAGAGAGAGACAGGAGGGGAGAGAGAGAAACACTGATTTGGTGTTCCACTTATTTATGCATTCACTGGTTGCTTCCTGTATGTGCCCTACCAGGAACTGAACCCACAACCTTGGCATATCAGGACCACACATGCACCAACTAGCTGACTCACATGGCCAGGGCTATTTGCTACTTTTTTCTCCTTCTCAGGATTTCAAGCTGGGGTCTCTTTTTTCTGACTACTCTGCTGCAGAATGTTCATTATTGAGGGTCAACTTGGCAGCCATTCTCATTTTTTTCCCCCTAGTCAGAGTCTTATGCCCTCATTTACAAAAGATATTTTTTGATACATACATATAATTCTAGCTTGAGAGTTATTATCTCTTGTCCCACTGAAGAAAACAATCTCGTTTTCTGGTTTCCCTCATTCATGCAGAGAACTCAGCTTTCTGTTTGTTGTTGCTTTGAAAGTAGTGTCTGTTTTCTCACCACTTACAGGTCTACTTTGACTTTCATGTTCTATAGTTTCACTATGACGTGTCTACGGGTAAATTTTCTTTACTCATAAGACAATTGGTGATTTGCTTTTAATTTGTGAGTCTTCCTGAATCTGCAAACTAGAAAATCCTTAACCATTTTCTCTTTGAATATTTTTCTTTTCTATTATCTTTTTTACTTAGGGGTCCCACATTTACTTCGTATTGACTGCTGTGTATTCCTTATTAACGTGCCCACTTATCAATGCCAGTCTTAAAGAATTAAAAATATGTACTTGTAGCCCAGCCAGAGCGGCTCAGTGGTTGAGCATCGACTTAGGATCCAGGAGACCGAGGTTTGATTCTTGGTCAGGGCACATGCCCAGGTTGCAAGATCGATCCCCAGTAGGGGGCGTTCAGGACAAAGCCCATTAATGACTCTCATCATTGACGTTTTTATCTCTCTTCCCCCCTTCTCCCTTCCTCTCTCTGAGATCAATAAAGACATATTTTTTTAAAAGAAGAAAAATATGTACTTCTAGCCCTCTTACTATTTTCAGTGAGTGAGTTGGTCAGAACAAATACCTAAGTCAACTCCACTATAGGAAAGTCAGGTTCCCTAACATGATTTTCATTTTAAATAGGAAAAACACAAAATCCCAACCCTCAGCTCAATTCCTGCTCAATCCACCTCCAACCATGTATGCTAACAGTCATTTACCAAATGCCATTTAATTGCTAAGGAAGTGGGAAACCACTGCCTGTAATTAAGAAGGCTTGTTGGTTAGAGAGGTATTTTTCTAGTGCTTTTACCTTTTCCAGTATGTGAGATCTAAAAAGGAAAAAACTGGCGTTCTGTTAGAGCCCGAAGCCATCTCCATGTCTGAGCCGTCATCTGACTGGTTACTGTAACAAGGAGATTGAGCTGGGGAGGCACTTGAGGTGGTACTGTGAGCATCAGAATCTGCAGTAAAGAGAAAAAAATCATAATTTCATTATATGCAATTGCAACTAAGCCTCAGCATAAAACACTGTGAATAAGTTAGTAAAAGAGAAAAATAGAATTTATTTTCTATTCACTACTGATACTTGAAGATATTTCTACTAAAGTGTTTCTAAAAGAAAATGAGGACTTAAGCTTCCAAGAAGTAAGAGTAGACATACTTTCCCTATTCCTCCTGTTTTAACAAGTACAACTAAAAGCCCTGAATGTTCTGTATAAAACAAATCTGGAGACTCTGGAAGCTGGCAACAGCTAGAAAGCTTAAGACCCAAGAAAGGTCATGGTAGTGAGTTCCTTAGTTTTTATGGGCTTTCTTTTTGCTTCATAAATAGCCAACCCAGAAATATCTATGGATGCAGACATTAAAAAAAAAAAGCCAACGAAAGGCTGCTCTCTCTGGCCAAAACACCAGGAAAGGAGCAGCCTAGCATGGTAGGAAACTTTTATTAGACAATAACCGCTCTACTCCTGGCACACCACAGAAAAAACTGGGCCCCAGCATCACCCACCTCAGCAAAGGCCAGGGGGGAGTCTAGGTTTCCATCTTCATGAGACTTTTATGAAGTACCCCAATGTCTCCATCAGGGTAGTGTCAGAGGAAGTCTATTGAAGAGTTAGGACTTTCACTATGGCCACCAGAAATATGGTCATCCTACCATGTGGAAGCCTCAGCTCCTGCCCCCACCTAGAAGCAATGGGGAGCCCCTCCCACCTCAGATGTCAATGGAGGTGAAGTAGAGAACTTGTAACATCACCTGGCAGTAATAAGGTGGTGCCCCTCCCCACATCCCCTGCTGGAGGAGTGTCAAAAAAACACACACAAAAAGCCAGTTAAAACAGAAGGTTTCAAATAAGATCCAGAGTCTCAAATTATAATTTTAAAATGTCCAGGTTGCAATAAAAAAATCATATCATACATATCCAGTACCTTGGAGATCTCAAACTGAATGAAAAGGCAAGTAGATGTTAACACCAAAATGAAAGAGATGGCAAAATCATCTGATGTAAATTTTAAAGTAACCCTGACAGAAGTGTTTCAACAAGCCATTAGGAATATGCTTGAAACAAATGAAAACAGAGCCTCCACAAATACAAGGTCTCAGTTAAAAAAACAGCAGCTATAAAGAAAAGCCAAGTGAAACTGAAATTTGAACTGAAAAAATACAATAAATGAAAAAAAAAGCTCAGTGGATGAGCTCAACAGCAGACTGGAAAGGACAGAGGAAACAATCAGTGAACTGGAAGAACAAACAACAGAAATTGCCCAACCTGAACAACACACACAGAGAAAACAAACTAATAGAGCCTTAGAGACCTGTGGGACTCTAACAAAAAAAATCTATATTCATGTCAGTGCGGACCTGGAAGGAAAGGGGAAAAAGGGCGGAGGTGAAAAAAGTCCTCAAAGAAATATAATGGCTGAAAACTTGCCAAACTTGGCAACAGACATAAACCTATAGCTTCAAGAAGTTGAGCACGCCCTAAACAGGATATACCCAAAGAAAGCAAAGCCAAGACACATAATTAACCTCTGAAAACCAAAGACAAAGAAAAATGACGTTACAATAGATCCCTACTTAATAAGTAATAAAGGCAATTCATCAGATATAAGCTAAAAATTTTAGTTGAGAGTCACTGTGCTATAAGGTGTTACACTGCTATTTCACAGCAAGAGCAGTGTCACAAACAGGAGTTGAGCCTACCACACAGCTTACCTTTAGCTAAAAACTATGCCCCTCCCACAGGTGGGTAGAGCAACCCTTCAGTTCAGAGAATCAATCAAATATTTATTAAGTATCTACTAGACGTCAAACCCTGTGTGATGCCCCGCATGGAAAGAAACAGACTAAAGGGAACGTTTTTTAATAGACCTCACAAGTGTTTTATGTTAACCAAAGTTTACATAAAGTGAGATATCTAAAACAAAGAAAGCACCATTAGTGTTTTAATATGTTCATTCATTTCTAATATATGAACAGTTTAACTTCATTTTAAAAATCCTCAAGAATAAATAGGCTTTAAAGAAATAAGTGTACTGGAATGTTCTCAAATAACAGCAGCAGTCAGCCCTATGCTGTTGAAGAAAACTCACTATCCTAGGAAGTGCTTAATATCTACGAACCATTTGAAATTGCAGTTATTTGACTGTTTTCTACCTATAAAAATGTCAATTTCATATGGTTTAATCTAATACCTGGGATACTAGGATACAACTTAATTATATACAAATGCAGTTAGTAAGAAAACCTCTCTTCTAGAATGTAGGTCTGGAAATTCTTCAAAGATCTTAAATTTTAAACTTCTTTAAAATAGGATTTGGAAAGGCACAAAGGAGTAATTGGATAGCATGGCATGGAGTAAGTAGGTGCAATGAGCAAAACTGTGGAAGCAGACAGAACACCCTACGCACACGAAGGCAACTGACTCAGCCCAAACGTTCTAAAATAGGACATTCAAAGACTTGCTAGGGATTTTCAACTTTATTCTATAGTGACCAGAAGTCATGGCAGGTTTTAGGAAGAAGGATGGCAAAAAATAGCTAACATTTATATAGGAAGTTCTTTCTTTTTTTGTCTGTTTAAAAAACAACAACAAACCTTTTTATTGGCACATGGAACAGAGTAACAGATCTCAGTGGGGGTTGGAGGGACAAGAAGAGATTAACCAAAGAGCACATATGCATAACCCATGGACACAGATAATATGGGGAAGACCTAGGGTAGGGTGGGAGTTGGGTGGAGGGTTGGCAAAAAGGGAGAAAAGGGGAGACATCTAAAATACTGTCAACAATTAAAACACACACACTCAGAAATCATAAAAACGAAAAACAAAAAGAACCTTTTTCACTTGATTACCCCCATTTCTCTAATTAGGAAATTGTGCTTAAATCAATGTTAAGTGACACCAGGGTGACATATTTGTAGGTGTCAAGAACTGTAACTCAAATCCAGAGTTTCAAGCTCTGGGTCCAATGCCTTTGGAAAGAATGTCTCAGGAAGAGGAATGCAGGTCAGGTACGGGCAGAATGCACGGAAGCAAATGTATAACCAGAGGCAAGGAAACCATTTGGAGGGTGATGTATAAAACTTCAAATATCTCAGAGCTGTTTGGTACACTGCATACAGGTGCTAGCAATTCACAATGCACCTGGGAAACCCCTGTTTCAGTCTGAACCTCCAAACCCCACACACCGTACCTTTTTCAAAGGGAATTATTTTTCAGTCTCCAAACCCTCCACAACACAGCTTTACCATAAAAATCTAAAATTACACTGGACATATTCTCTAAGTAAGGCAAAAGTTAGTCACACATCACTTTCCCTATAATTAAACGGAGGAGCTAGGAATATATGTATGAATAATCAATTCCTTTAACCACTTTCCAGCAGTATAAGAAAATTACTATTTCCCAAATGTTTATAACGTCTAGTAAGAATGGAGGGTAGAGTTCAGGTTAGTGGTTTTTCCCCCTTGGAGATGGCTGGTGAAGAAAGGAACATGTATAATTAAAATACACATACTTAATTAATGTTACCAAAATATTTTACTATAAAAGTATTAAAATATTTTAGCCGAAGATTAAATACAGGGTGGGGCAAAAGGAGGTTTACAGTTGTTCTTATGGAAATAATATAATATTAAACTGTAAAAGTATCCAAGGTCTCAAAAAGCAATTATTTGCGTGATAATTTGGTATGCCCAAAGTGCTCCTCATCAATGAAAATCTCATATACAGTAACCTAATTCAGTAACATGAATCTTGAGTATCTGGACCATTGCTTACATGTTAATGTTTTCTTGCCTCTTTTTTTTTAATCCTTACCCAAGGATATTTTTTCCATTGCTTTTTCAGAGAGAGTGGAAGGGAGAGAGAGAAAAAACATCGATGAGAGAGACACACTGATTGGTTGCCTCCCACACGCGCCCCGACCAGGACCAGGGATGGAGCCTGCAATCCAGGTACGTGCCCCCTTGGCTGGAATTGAACCTGGGACCCTTCAGTCTGCGGGCCAATGCTCTAACCACGGAGCAAAATCGGCCAGGGCCTTCTTGCATTTTTAACCCCATATGTCCTTGAGCTCAATTGTTTTACTCTCTGGTTTTCAAGTGAGGTGTTTGGGAAATCATACTGGCAGAGGTGGTGGGACGAAGAAAGTTGAGCTTTTTCCCACTGAGAAACTTGTGCATTCAGCTTGCGTCTTTCCAGGCAAAACAAATGGGTATTCTTTTCAGACCATTTTCAACTGTACCTTAGAAAAGTCTTGTCGTTTAACAAATTTAACACTTGTCATACACTTGGATTGATAGGAAAGGACTCATGAAACATTGTGAGTAAAGGAAACGACGGTACTAAACCCAGTATATTGTTGAAAATGTTAAGTGTCAGCGTGTTCTAATTGGGACTCTAAATGTAACTCCTGTTTACTATTGGCTTAGAGCTTTTGACGTAAAGAATGGAGTGTAATGATAATGACATATCCCCACTGGGTCATACAGGACCAGCTTCATACTCAACATATTCACTAATGACTCAAGCATCTGGCTATTAAAATACCCTAGAGTTGCCTTTTTTTTCAATTGCCATGAGCGAAATGTCTCATCTGTACAACTGATTCCTTTATTTTAATGGCTGCCTTTTCATTTTTGTCTTCTCTTGATGCCACCCATCTATATATGGATGTAGTCAGGAGAAAATGAAATGTGACCCCACTTTTTGGTGGAAAAGACTTCATCTTAAAAGTGAAGATTTTGAAAGTCTGTTGAAAGAAACTGGTTTGGAATAATGCCATCAGAGACTGAATGGAAATTGCCCCTTTCAAAGGTGCCATTTTTACGAGCCAAGAACTTAGTGTTTAACAGTTCATCTGGAAAGAATAACCTGTAGTATAGTTTGAAATAAAGGTGTGTAGTAACCTTATGAAGAAGGGCATTATTACCGATACCATTGTAAATGGGGTGAAATTGTTAAATGAGTAACGTTTATAAAATTTTCATGCATAGGCAAATGTATTCGCTACGCCTCTACATAGTGATCTGCTTTTACTTTGTAATCTGCAGTCCTCAAGACTTTAAAAATAAATAAATGAAGTCCGCTCTGGCTGGTGTTGCTCAGTGGTTAGAGCCTCAGCCTGCCCACCCAAGGGTCTTGGGGTACAACTGCCGGTCAAGGGCAGGGCCTCCGTTGCAGGTTCATCCCTGGCCCCAATACGAGCCTGTAGGAGGCAACCAATCAACATGCTTGAGCACGCGGGCTCTCTTTCTTTCGATCCCCAGTAGGGGGCGCACAAGAGGCAGCAGATCAATGACTCATCACTGATGTGTCTGTCTCTTCTCCTCTTCCTTCCTCCCTGAAATCAATAAAAACATTTAAAAAAAAAGATTTCCTACATTTAAAAAATATAATAAAAGGAAAAAATACCCTCGGGTGAGGATTTGAAATTATAATAAAGTCCAAAAAGAAAAATAAAATCCATTCTTACACTTAGGTTAAATAGGTCAGTCTTCTTTATTCATTTTTTATTTTTTTGTAAATTCTGTGTTAATGTCCAGCGATAACTGTATGTTATACATTCAGACGTCTCTACTCTGTAAGCATTAAATAATTGCTCTTTTCATCATTATAGCTCCCAAACTGTAAACACATAGACACAGAATTCTGATGTAGCAAAAACTACAAAAACATTTCTACAACCAAATCACTGCACATTACTGCCAAAGTGTACCCTGTTCTATTATATACTGTGTATGTGTAAGAGTGTGTAGTCTTCCAGAACTACATTATGATCTTTCTCTGATCATAGTTTTTTATTCATAATGAGAAAGTACTGTTTACTTACTACAATATAGTAAATAGGTAAGTCACCTGTGAAAGTATAAAGAAAGGGAATGCTTTCTGAAAAGACTGAAGATTTTCATTTTGAATCTCAAGTGGTAATTTTGGAACCCATCTCAATGGTAACCTATAGCCTCAAATATGTAATTACTTTTTTAAAAAATTTGATTTTTAGACAGAGGAAGGGAGAGGAAGAGAGAGAGAGAGAGAAACACTGATCAGCTGCCTCCTACATGTCCCCCACTGGAGATCAAGCCCATGTGCCCTGACCGGGAATCTAACCGGGGACCTCTTGGTTCATGGGTTGACGCTCAACCACTAAACCACACCGGCCAGAGCTATGTAATTCTTAATATAGATGTTAAAATTGTACCTGTATGATTCGATAAATGGTGATTTTCCTAACTTGGTATCAGTTTCAAAGGATAAGTCCCTTATATGCCATAATTAAATGTATGTCTAGAGCTGATCATAAATTTCTTAATCTTAACTATTCTGAAGTATTGTCCTAGAAACATTATGCTCTTCTTATGAAAACTCCAAATACCAAAAACACCACAGTACATTTTGACATAGCATAATGATAGTGGTGACAGGAAATGCAAGTGACCAAAAAAGATTTACTTGTAATTTCAGTGTTTCTCAAAGCTCATTGTCACTCTTCCCTAAGAAGCCTTTTTTAATAGCACCCCAATAATTTTTTTTTAAAGAATACAATAATTACTAAATGATAATACAAGAATAAACTCTGTTTCACATACAACTGTAAACCTAATTTTGCCCAACCCTGTACATCATCTAAATAATAACTAAGGGCTAGTAACACCTATTTACCCAAAAGCACAAAGTTAGTAGCAGATCTGGAAAGACTTTGGAGTTCTGAGATATTGGTTACACTGCCCCATACAGCAGGATGATACAGAAAGACCACAAGGCCTTGAAATTAGATAAACAGAAGGTTAAATTTATCTCTACCACTTACTATGTGACCTGGGTCAAGGTTAAATTACCACTCAGCACTTCCAATGCTAATCTCTAAAACAGAAATCATTGAGATAACTATGTATGTAAAGTGCAGGGTAGATATGCCATAGTTCTCATGAGATGACAATTATCCTTCCTTTCTCAGTGTACCTGATCGGTAACTGTAACTGTCTTTTTCCATTGTTCCAAAACAAGCATTGATTGATAATATTTTGTCTAACAGAGTCCTACAGATTTTTACTTTTTTTTAATCCTAAAAACTCCAATACAGGTCCACAACCCATACCTACAAAAGCTCTGAAAACAGAAAAGTTTATTCCTAACCCATGCAGCCACAATATCTGGCTTGACCTGAACTATAATTAAGGAGCCAAACCTGCCTAGCCTAGTTACAGTTTATTTATTCCACCCATGTGAATATTTATTTCACCTATGTGAATAGTTTCACTGCAGAAATATTAATGTATTTGATTCAATAGCACTGCCTCAGACCTTCCCACCCCAGGGTCTGTGATACAAATGTTATATAACATTATATGCACTGCATTTGCTTTTCAAAATCTTAAATCTAAATCCCTAAATACAGAAGTACCACTACAGGTGCCCCGCCCGCAATAGCGACTTCCTGTAAGAGTTTATGAACCAGGTATTAATTCGTCATTTCTTTGCCATTCTATTGCTCCACACAACACACACTCCCCCCTAAGCTTCGAAGTTCCGAGGCTGGCTTCACTGCAGTACGTGAGTTATGATTTCTAAAATTACTTTCCTGGGCTTTGGTCTCAGATTGTCCACTAATTATTCATAAACCTTTCCGCACATCGCCAGGCCTCATTTTACGCATAAAATATCAAGTAAACAAGCTTGAAAAATTATATTCTAGAAAATTAAGACATCAAAAAGAGATCAAAATGGTCTCGGCACAATTTGAAGAAGTGGCTAGCTAGTGAAAGAACTTTCATGACATTAAAATCAAGGACAATGTTCCAAGATTTCACAGAAATGATATCTCTATCAAGCCAACCATCCCTTCCAACACTCTTTTTTTAAAAAAGCAATGAAAGAAAAAATGATCCATATACAGCATGTGCCACCGCCAGGCAAAAATAAAAACCGAACATCTATTCTTAAGTACTTATGTTTCAGTACCAAACTTACTGTGACGTTTAAATTCCTTCTGCAGTTTGCTGATCTGGTTGCTTTTTATCCTGTTTCCAGATAGAGTTTTCACTTTCTTTGGTTTCAATGTAGTCTTTAGACTGGGTCCTGCCCGTGCATCTACCACCTGGAAGAAAATACTGAATATTTAATACCAGTTTTAAAATGACACCTCTGTACTCCTTTGGTTCAGACAAATGCCTATTTGGAGGAGCCCAATTTGAGCACAGTTTTCTACCAGAGTGTCTGAGAGCCGTGTACTTTTTTTTTTTTAATCATTACATGGAATTAAAGAATAGTTTATCTCCAACCACTATGCCTATACACTTGAGAATAATACAAAATAATATTGAATGAAAACTGTAATTAAAAAATAAATTTTAAAAATAAACCAAAAAGTGCAGCATGTCGCCCGGCCAGGTGTGGCTCAGCAGTTGAGCATCCACCTAGGATCCAGGAGATGGAGGTTCGATTCCCGGTCAGGGCTCATGCCAGGGTTGCGGCTTGATCCCCAGTCAGGAGTGTACAGGGGAGAGCCGATCAGTGACTCTCTCATCATTGATGTTTCAACTCTCTCCTCTCCCTCTCCCTTCCTCTCTCTGAAATCAATAAAGACATTTTGTTTTTTTTAAATGCAGCATATCAGGAATGAATGAATGAAAAATCGTTTCTATTATGGGGTTTTATTGGTTTGAAGCAGGTAACAGTAGGAGTCTGCTGGACAAAAACTTTAAATAGATTTATATGTGGTGAGAATGAACAAAGTAGGTTAAGAAAAATAAAATCTAACAACTAATATTTGCCCAGGATGTTTTGCAGTATACGAAAGCTTTCATATACACTGATACCTCGGTTTTCGAATGTAATCTGTTCCAGAAGAGACCGTTTGAGTTCTGGAACGTTCGAAAACGGAGGGCTCCACAGCCAACAGCTGGGCCTCAGGATCCCGCCCGCAGCAGAAGCAGCGTGGCATGTTCGTCTTCCAAGGCGTGTTGGAAAACAGAAATGTTCGCCAACGGGGCCGTTCAAAAACCGAGGTACCGCTGTACTTTTGATTTTTACCTTCACCACAAAGCAGTAAAGGGACTGTATTTGTTGCTCCAATTTTTGAGTGAAGGAAAACTAGAGAAATTATTTACTTTGCCTTATTTCACTAAGCTAGTAAAAAAGGGCAAGGATGAGTGGGGAGGGGGACAAGGCTTGAATCAAGGTGTCCAACTTATGCTTTAAGCTCTTTCCACCGCGCACCCTTAATCCCTGAGGTCAATGCTGTTCCCTGAGGTCAATGAGCAACGGCATGTTCTCCCCCCATCTAGCATGGACATTGGTTCAGCCACATGGTCCCATTCGCATGCACTCATTCATATCTACTAGTTGCAGATGTCTACCCTTATGTAGAAAGGTTGCCATCACCTTAGAAATCACAATTTGTATCTTCTCCAGATGAGGTATTAAAAAAACAACAAACTCACTTTTTTATAAATTAAAAGACCCACAGAAACCTATCATAATAATGTAAGTCACCAAAAGGTAGGGAAAAAAGGTATAGAATAAATGACTGCCTACTTAAAACAAATACATTGTATAAATGTCACAAATCTTCTGAAAGCTGGCAAACAAAATAAGACTTAGTGTTGTTCTGGTAATCAAAAATATTTTATGAAGAACTCTATTGACATTACAAAGTGCAAGGTCAGAAGAACACACATTTATATACCAATTTGATCTCAACTAGATTTAAATGTAGAGAATAACAATAGCTTTCCTCTAATTGAGTGGTTACTATGTTATACTTTGTCTCATTCAGTTCTCACAACAGCTCTGAGACGGCTATTATCTGTACACTCTGTAAATAAATGTAACTTGCTCAAGGTTCACAACTAGCAGGTGATAAAGGCAGGATTCAAATCCAGTACTGATCAAAAAACCTATACCTCATTAGTACCAACATGAGTTAGGATAAATATCATCCTAAAAGATGAAAAAAGGATCCATGTCTAATTAGCTCTAAGAATTTCTGGGTTAAACCTAAAAATATGTGAAATGTACATTGTGAATCTCTGAAATGGAGATACTGGATACAGCCTTAGGGAAACGCCACACCAAGCTATTATGCCTCCGCACAGGACAAAATGTAAAGTGATTATATCTGAATAGTAACTGTTTTTCTTTATTCTTTTCATACTTTTCCATCCTAGGCACACATTATTTCTTAAGTTAGGGGGGAAACTAATGTTACTTTAAACGTAACAGAGGTATAATTGAGAAAGATGACAGATGCACTAACATGATTCCAGTTTTTTTTTGATCCTGCTGGCAATTTCTTCCATCGCTTCACAAGCAGGACACAGGCATTACAGATGTCTCCTGAACGAGTCTCATGCAACCTGATTAAAAAAACAATCAAACCTTTATTGGTCTCCTTTACATTGAAGAATTGAAGCAAACACATTCCTTTTAGAAAAAAAGTTTGTTATAGACATTCTAATCATCCCGATTGACCCAGGCCCATTGTTTAGGGTACCATATTTCAGAAATACAACTAACTACTAGATCCAATGAACCAAAATTTTACGTACTGCATTGGTCATCTGAAAGTAACATTTTAAACATTTAACAATAGTAAAATTTAGACCTAGAGGAGATCCTGGTCACCATGGTTTTAAACAATACTGTCCAATTAATCTTTCTTGAAATATGTATAGACAACCTCATAAGCAACAAAATGCCGCCCTTTAAAATAATGTGTGTTGGCCCTGGCCAGGTGGCTCCGTTGGTCGGAGAGTCATCCCCGTGCACCAGGAGGTTGCGGGTTTGATTCCGGTCAGGGCATGTGCCTAGGTTGCTGTTTACACCCCGGTTGGGCCACGTCAGGAGGCAACCGATTGATGTTTCTCTCTCTCTCCCTTCCTCTCGCTCTAAACCAATAAAAAACATATCCTTGGGTGAGGATTAAAGGAAGAAAAAACAATAATAGTAAAGGGGAAAAAATAATGTGCAATGGTATTCTAGTTTCACAACAAACAAAACCAGAGGCACTGTAATTTTTAAAGTGATTATATCTGCATAAGGGGGGAAAAATCTGTAAGACCAGTTACCACGTTGTTTTTTAATATCTCTGAGGAACTTCCACACTTACTACATTTGTCCTGTATTAAATACATCAGAAAAATACTGATAGTACAGTGGATCCTTTTTGACAACCTTGAAAATAAATACAAAATACAAAGTCCAGGATTAACAATAACTAATCAACAAATGTTTTGATAAGAAAAACAAAGTGATGAAAGTAATTTCTAACATGGGAATTAGTTCAACATTACGTATTTTATTTCATCCAAGGGTTTGTTGGAAAGTAAATACCAGTTCATTAAGCAGTGGATCACTGTCAAAAGATAATGAAGTACAAACTGTAAAATAAATGCTAACATACCCTGACAGGTAGGTCTTAGGGCAGAAGATTAAATCTCATTACCATTCTCAATAGGCTGGGTTAAAATATATTTCTGTAATTTAGAAAAACAATACAAAAGACAGAACACTACTGGAGGATATCTATTATAAGGGAAATTTTTTTTTAATCTCTTTATACATACTGAACTTAACAAAAGGGCTTCTCTGGTTACAACTTCGAAGGCCTTAACAATTAATTTGGTAGTTCCTCATAATCTTAAAAAAGGTAGGCTGTCAGTATGTCAGATTAGTTTTAAGAGCAAGGGCGTTAAAACAGCCTCGGTTAGAATATAAGTGATTTTAAATATTAGCACATTACTCCAATTGCCCTGTTGGGAAATATTTCCGTATGCTATGACCTATTTAGCTCTAAGAATGATACAAATATCGGATGATCTTACCCAAAACAGCTCTGGAAGTCCTTCTCATAGCGTTTGCTGTCAGTGAATCGAGAACTGGAGGACTTGGCTCTGCAAATACAGCAGCCTTCTATACTTCGGTACATCTTTGGCTTGTGAAAACCAAACATCTTTTCTTCTGGGCAATAGTCTGTAAAGCCAAGGGAATTGACACAGCTCTGTTGAGGGCTATTAACAAGAAACCACTAAAGGAGAGAGAGCTCTCTGCTCTTCCACCCCCAGCAACTTGGTATATGACATGTCCAAGGCAGAAAGGAGGGCTCTGGGAGACCACCTCCAGGCTCTTGCTCCATTCTTGGCACTAGCATGACAAGTGTAGAAAACACACAGAACAGCTCAGTTATTTAACAAGGTTTCTACTATCTCCTTTTACCTTCCTGGAAAACACTCATTCTAAAAAGAGGGGATGGGAGGTGGTTTTTTTTAAAAAACCAAGTTTTAAGTAGAAAACACAACCCTCTCTTCACAATCCTGTAAAACAAGGGAATCACACCCAGTGAAGGACAGACCTGAACATTTAAGGGAAGGCACCACCCTTTACACTGCACCTTGGCTTTGGTGTGATTCCCCTCCGGGGAAGTTCTGAGCATTTACCATGACCGCTAACTATCTGATATGATACTAAGCATAAAGTAATGCATCAGTGCACACTGCTCTTGCCCTGTGGGAAACAGGAGGGGATTTCTTCTGTGATAAATGGGAACTTCTAAAACAGACAAGTTGGTCCTGAATTGAAACAGCTGAAAGGACTATGTAAAATTCACAAAAATCCAGGGTTAGAATGTAAGAATAGTTTCGTAAACCACGAAGATGATTAAGAATAATGTTGCCTGACCATGGGTCTGCCTCTCAGTTGTTACAGAGGTTTCTGGAGCTATTTTATGAGGTTATATGCCCGAGACCAGGAGGAGGAGGAGGCAGGTGGTTCAAGACATGTAGAGTGAGCTTGGCCGAGCGTGGCTCAGCAGTTGAGCATAGACCTAGGATCCAGGAGATCAGGGTTCGATTCCGGGTCGGGGCACATGCCTGGGTTGCAGGGCTTGATCCTCCAGCCAGGGGTGTGCAGGAGGCAGCCGATCAATGACTCATCATTGATGTTTCTCTCTCTCCCTCTCCCTTGCTCTCTCTGAAATGGATAAAGACATATTAAAAAATAAAGAAAGAAATGTAATGAGACAACCTGTGACTCCAATGATCAAAAAATTTTAACATCAAGCAAGGAAGGAACAGTTCTAGGGATAGAGACAGCAAAAATGTAGCTTAGAAATAATTTAAAACATCCAAACCAAGGGCCAACTTTACCAGAACCACTGGACTAAGAGAGGTGATGAATATAGAAACTAAACCCCAACAGACAAGTCCAGAGGATGTGGGTGTGGGTGTGTATAAGAGACCAATGACAAATTATCACAAAAGCATCACATAAAGCATCAGTAAGAGAGAATCACTGATACCAAATAGATTTGTGCCCATAGTTTTAGGACTTGACTTATAACCACAGAACACTATCGTCCTTTTAAAGTTCTTTTAGAAACACACCGAAATACATGCGTAAAACAAAAACTTCATTTCTTGTCTTTGAATAATCTCTTGTCTGCTCCCACTCCATTCCAACTCTGGTTAGTACACCAGAGCAAATATTTATGAAAGTGATTCAGAGAAATAACCAAATATCCAGTCTTTTTTGCTTGTGTGTGTGCGTGAAATTGAGTGATTTTGAAATACAGAGGCTATACAATTTGTTTTCAAGGTAATATTTTATTAGCAATTAATTAACTAAACATTGAAGCTTTCCTTTTAAGCAGAGACCACTGTTCATCAAATGTTCACTAATGTTTTTGTTGGTGAGGGACACAGGCAAAGGATCTGGGAGATGGAATGGGGCAGAAGGCCACTGAGTCATTTCAGTTAAGTCTGAACAGTTACCTCAATTTAAGAATTGTTAAGGTAAGAAAACAAAATATTCTTAGTTGATTAAGTTAATTGTTGTTAAAAGAAATGCTTGGGAAATTGTTTTAGTGAGAAAAAAAATAAGGAAGGTGCTCTATATACAGTAGGAGAAGATGTAGTGAGGCCTGTGAAATAAGGCAGGTATTTTTCTTCAAACTAACAACAAAGCTTCATGATAAATGAAAAGGAAATGGCCTCCTGAAGAAAACCGTTGTTTTGTTAAAAACAGTGTCCAATGGCACAGGATTATAGAAACTTTTTAAAAAGAGCTGCTAAGAAAGTGTAAGTTGTTGCTTTAATTTGTATATTCCTGTTTTGAAGCAAAAATGAAACAAAAAGGTTTCCAGTCCTCACGCCAACCCCTGGGCCCTCCAAAGTCCCCTAACACCTTCCATTACCCTCAAGAAGGTCAAAAGTCCACAGTTCCTCTTACAGTTGCCAGCTTCATCAGTAGCTCTAGGAAACTTCAGCCTCCCTTCTCAGCAAGGACAAAGGAAGTACAGCAGAAAGGCCAGTTCATTTCATTAACACACAGACCAAATTCTATTACAAAAGACAGATTCTTATCTCTACCCTCACAATCCCCTCTCCTCCCACAAACAAACATGACATCAAAACTGTACGGCATTCGGATCATGTCCGAGACAGGAACTGCCTTCACTGAGGCTGGGTCTGACCAAGAAGCCCTAGTCTGTGCCGGATACCAGGCCGGCAGGCAGGTAAGGAATTTGAGGGCTCTAGCACTCTACCCTGAGGAAACACTGAGGCTTTCCTTTCCCAGCTGCTACTGAGAATCAAGTGTTCATTTCCAATCTTTTTTTTTTTTTTTTTTTTTGTTTGTG